GGGCACACTGAGCTTTATAGATGCCCCCAGGGGACTCAGGAGTCCAGGAGAGTCTCTGTGGCTGCCCCCCCTCCCTACACCCTCCAGGTGCCATACATGCCCTTGCTGAGGGACAAACCCTGCTCCCCATGCCGTGACCCCCTGAGCGAGGCAGAGGTGCCTGTCTGCCTGCCAAGAGGGGACTGCCATAGACCCCCATCAGCCCCAGGCTGGGCCACCCCCCACCCCAGACCACTGGTCCCCACATCCTGCTGCCAACAGCTCCACTGCTGCCACCGTGTCCGTCCTGTCCCACATCCACCACCCTTTGCCCCTTTGCTGCTCACCCACCACTGGGTCCCTCCGGGGCTGGGGTCCCAGGGGACAGGCAGCACAGTACCTTGGGGAAGTCTCCCTTGGCGAAGGCCACCAGCAGTGATGTCTTCCCGCAGCCCCCGTCCCCGACGATGACAGCCTTGATCTCAGTTTCAGGGGCTCCTGGGCTCTGCCCCCCACGCTCCCGCTGCATGGGGGTGTCCAGAGAGGCCACAGAGCCTGTCTGGCCTCGGTGGAGACAGAGATGGGAACAGGGTGTTGAGAAGCACCCGCCCCGTTCAGGGTACAGTCATCACCCGCCCATCGGGCCCACCCATGGTGGCACTCAGGGCTGGGCACACGAAGGTGACAGCAACAGCAGCTGGGACACACATGTGAGGGTGTCCTCACACACATATGACCTTCTCCTGGCAGGTCTTCATGCTGCATGAGGGGCACACAGTGCCCACCTACACGTCCTGGCTGTGTATGCGATGCTCCCTCACACACGTGAAGCATCTTGCACATGTGTGATCCCATCCCATGTGTGCAGATCCTCCTTGCACACTCCACACAGGTTCCCTTGCACACTTGTGCTTGCACAGCTCCCTGCCCCACCTCATCCCCTGTGGTCGAGTGTGCAAGCACATGCGTGTGCCCTCCCCAACACCTCATTTTCCCCCCCATGTCAGGGTTTTATTGCCCTCAGCATCCAGGGGAGGCAAAGTCCAGGGGTGGAGGGAGCCACGGGGAGGGTGACTCACTGCTCCTGCCCTGCCATCAGTGCCACCCCTGCTGTCACACCCGTGCTGTGCCATGCTGAGCCATGCCCTGTCAGGAATGTCTGTCCCTGGCACCCGACTCAGCAGGACCTGAGTGACGGGGGCAGCCACCAGTCTCCAGTCTTCTCCTAGTGACCCTGACACACTGGTGCGTACAGGCTGTGACACCACACTTTGCTAGGAAACATCCCAACCCACCACCAGTGATACTGTGTATGTCCCCCACACTGACCACCCCATATCACCCACAGAACCCCTTGTCCACACCATGGCACTGCTTAGGGGACTCAGAGAGTGCTTAGACATGAGAGGTTTGGGCCATGGGGTGAGGTCCGGGTGCCCTGTGCGTGAGTGCCTGCTCCTGCGGGCTCCCTCAGTCCTGTGGGGTGTTAACAGTCCTGACAGCAATTAGCTGGCTTAATGAACCAAAAAAAAAGCAGCTTTCTGCCCTTGCTGGCAAGGCAGAGGTCACCTGGTACTTGGGAGTGCTTTGCTCACCCTCTGGTATGTCCACCCTCCAGTGGCTGAAGGGGACACAGGGGGAAGCCAGTGGAGAAAGGACAGATCATGTGCCCCACACTCCAGTTTGGAGGTCCCCAAGACTCCCTCCCCTCTGGTCAGTGCCCTCTTCTGCCACCTCAAATCCCCAGTGGGGGTGAATGGGTGGTGATATAGGGGTGCAGGGAGGGATGGAGGGATCGTATGTGCCATTCCCTGTCATCCCACCAGCCCCTCCAGGCTCTGTTGGTGGGTACCAGCAGGTCCAGGAGATCTCTGGAGCCCCCAGACCAGTCGAGGTGAGTCCAAACTGATGGCTTGAGCACCAAATGCCCACCCAGGCCGGGGGTAGGATGAAGTTGGAGGAGAGGCAGTGTGGATTATCATGCCTGGAAGATGGAAGGCAAATGCACTCAGTAATGAACAGACTCAGAAGGATGCCAGCATTGGGGCAGGATGGGAAGAGAAGACTGGAGCCCCATAAAACAATTAGGAAGATGATAATTACCAGTCTCATGAGATATCACGTTGAATCCTAAAAGCATCAAAATTCTTTCACAGCAAGATGTAGCTGCTGCAGTGTTCATCCTCTGGAGTATTCACTCGGACAAAACATTTCCTTTCCCGCAAGACCAACAGAAATTTGATGGGAGAAGAAGCAGCCTGCGAGCAACTGCCCAGTGCTCTCATCACCTGACCTGTGATTGTGCAGAAACGCCCCAAAAAACAGCTTCATTTGAGGAGAGACAGACTGCTCAGGGCTCCTGAGGACGCGAAGACCCCAGTTCTCCTCTTCAGAGAAAACTGTGGCAAGGAGAGCTTGGACACACAGGCAGGTCAGCTCCAGGCTGCTGTTGGGAAAGGTAAGGGGTTGGGACCAGAGTCCAGCCCTGGGCTAGCTCATGTCTCCCCAGAGCTCCCACAGCCCCTCTCACTGCTCCCAACCCTCCCTCGGCCTCACACCCAGCCCTCCCTTTGTGTCCCTGTCCCCAGCCTTGCTGTGCCATGTCACAAGGACCCCTCTCCTGGTGACAGTCACATCCCATGGGGTCCTACTAACTCCGTCTGCTCTGACCACATACAGGGACCACCTCCTGCTATGGAGCTGAACCAGACATCTCCACCTTCCTCATCTCCTGTGATGGACACCAATGGAGACAATCTGTGCAGCATAGAAGTCACCGATGTGGTAATAGATGGTGTCACACTGCTCATCTGCTTCTGTGGTCTGGCAGGGAACGGGGCTGTCCTCTGGCTCCTTGGCT